CCGGGGGCTCCCTGCGGTGGACAGGACGGGGCTGGAGGGCAGAGCCTGGCTGGCTGGGAAGAAGCTCCGGGCCTCCCTGACGTGCAGCCAAGCGGTCCGCCAGCCCTTCCGCCAAGATCACGCTGCCAGCCCCGGCGGCCGCCCCCAGGTGTGCCGCTCTCCAGGTGGCCCCGTGCGTCCTGGGAGACGGAGGCCCACACACGGCGGGCTGGGCTCCACCTGCACCTCCCAGAAACGCAGGCCGCGGCTGCCGGAGCCACGGAGGCAGCTCTGCGCTCGGCACGGCAGGACTCGGCTCCCCAGGACCCCACGGACGGACGCAGCCCCCAAAGATCAGAGGCGAAGAAGACGGGGCGCTGTGGCTTTATTCAGAGACCCCTCCCACGCCGCGCCTCGACAGTGTGACCCGCTTCCTGTCAACTTCGGGAATAATTTAATTCCGACATGTCCCCTCCCAGAGCCACTGCAAAGCCCGGAAAAGCCCGGCACGGTCACTTCCTGCGGTCAGGAACACTCCGCACCAAAAGGGAGTCTGCTCGTGACGCGAACCGCCCCGTGCCCGGCAGCGTGGACCTCGCCCTCTCCAGCCAATCTGCAAATGCGTTTTCACTGCTGGTTCCCCGAGGCAGACTTCTGCCGGGCATCGGACACCAAGGCCAGGGCTGCGAGTCCGCAGAGGTAATTGTTGGAGAAATGATTTAATACGTCGCAAATCCCTGTGTTTCCATCTCTTCAAATGGGATGCCAAAAGCGATTAAGGACTAAAAACATATCACCAACAAATTCACATTATAAAATTGCTGTAATCATTCTCCGGGGGGATTAACCGGGGCTTAGGAGCCTCTGCTCGGTCCCTCCGTCCTTCCCACGGGAGGTCGAGGGGGACGCCGGGCAGCTCTGGGGTCGGAACGGCGGTCTGTGCGATTCTCCCGTCCTCTGGGGAAAACGGCACTTGTCCTTCGCCAAGAGCCTCTTCAGTGAGCGTGTCCAGCCTGCAAGGGAGACAGACACGCGTGTTCGGCAAAGCGAGCGTCTGTGCCCGGACGGACGCCCGTTAGCTCAAGCGTGAGGCCGAACAAAGTTCCCGATGATTCTAGTAACATCTACATGAGTGGAATGGAAAGTTCCTTCTCTAGGACGAAACTAACAACATAAAGAAACTGCCGGAAGCTACGTGCATGCGGGTGCCAGAGCCTGTCAGTGACCTTTCGTGGGGGGAGCTGGGCTGGGGCCTCAGTTGTGCCCGTTACTGAAAACCAGGGGTGCTGGTTTTGGGGGAGCAGATTCTTAACGGGGAGAAAACAAGGATCTCTGTGCAGCGACTTGGGCACCACTGAACCGAGAGCTGGGGCCACAGAGCTCACTAAGTGGGTGGGAACATCCCCGCCAAGCAGGCCGGTTCTGTGCAGGTGAGACGGCGGGGGAGGGGCTGCCCGTTTCAGTTACGCCGAGCACAGGGCAGCCGGACGCTCGAGGGTCGGAGGAACGCGCCTGCCGTCTGGCTGTTTTTAGGAAAGGAAGAAAGGGGAGGCCGTGTTTTCTACCTGACACAGGAGTCAGGGAACAAAGACAGGAGCAGCACCTGGGCCAGGCAACCTGCCTCTCCTGACCCCGGCAGGGGACTCCTGTGCTTGCAGAAGCCGCCCAGCCCCTACCCGCCACCCCAGCCCCTACCCGCAGGGACCCTTTCCAGAGACTCCAGCAGGACCCTTTCCAGAGACTTCATTCGTGTGGTTGACAGAGGAAGGAGGCCTGGGTCCAGGACAAACCTCCGTGGGCATGGAGAAGGACCAGGGTTGTCACTGCTGGGCCGCCTTTGGGGGTCACTTCGTCATCTGCTGTATCCCGGCGGCTCCCAGGCTTGGGTGTGGTTGCCCAGCGTGCGGTTGGATGGGCACGTGGAGCCAGGAACTAGGCAGACGTTGGAAGGAAGCGGACAGTGGCTCTTCTTGCTGCACGCCCAGCCGAGCCCAGCCGGCTCTCTTAGGAGAGAGACTGTCTGCAGTTCCCACCGCGATGCCCTGAGCACACGGAGCCGGGCAGGTCCCCAGTGCAAGACACACATGAGATTTTCTTTTTGTTTTTGAGACAGAGTCTCTCTCTGTTGTCTGGGCTGGAGTGCCGTAGTGTCAGCCTAGCTCACAGCAACCTCAAACTCCTGGGCTCAAGCAATCCTGCCTCAGCCTCCAGAGTAGCTGGGACTACAGGCATGCGCCACCATGCCTGGCTAATTTTTCCTATGTATTTTTAGTTGGCCAATTCATTTCTTTCTGTTTTTAGTAAAGACAGGGTCTCACTCTTGCTCAGCCTGATCTCAAACTCCTGACCTTGAGCGATCTGCCTGCCTCAGCCTCCCAGAGTGCTAGGAATTACAAGGCGTGAGCCACCTCGCCCGGCCACACACTGGATTTTGAAGACTTAGTCCCCCCAAAAGTAAAACATCTCATTGATAACTTAAAATATTAACTATATTTTGAAATGATGATATTTTGGATATGATAGGATAAACAAAAGCTATTGGTAAAATCAATTCACCTGCTTCCATTTACTTCTTTAACGTGGCCACTAGAGCATGTGAAATTCTGTGCAAGGCCGGCGTTGTCCCCGGTTGGGGAATGCTGGTTCAAAGGGCTGGTGTGAGGGTCTCGGTTCTGGGGGCGCTGCCTCACAGCCCCCAGCCCCGGCTGGGGCTGCAGGGTGCGACCCAGAGCTTCCTCCCCCCAGATGTTCCCCAGAGCCACAGGCTTGCAACAGGCAACCTTGTCGGTTGCATTTGCAGTTTGCCAGCTGTGGGCACACAGGCTGTGGGGGTGTCTTAGAGCGGGAGGCTTGCCGTGCAAACTCGAGAGAGGCCAGTGACATCCACTGTGCTAGACCAGGTTGCTCTATGACACGGCACTGTTGAGAAAACTGCCTAATTTCCCTCCGAAATACTCTTTGACAGGCAAGCAGACATCTGGGAGGACAGTAAAGAAACAGTTTTGCAACCTAAAAAAAAATGTTTAAATGTAATTTGAACTTAAAAAAAAAACTAAGCTATTGAAAGAATTCTTGATTAGCGAAATGGTTCTTTTTAACAACTGGTTTTCGCCCAAGGGGTAAGAGAGATTTTTTTTTCCTTTACTCTGTTCTTAGGATTCCACGTATTTGCTAGTAAGTGGTTGCATACAGATTGGTTTGAGCCTCTCAGAGAGACTTTAGGCTCTGGTTTAGACGCAGGTGGCCAACGCCAACACAGTTATTTGAAACCAGAAATTATGATGAATTCAGTCACAAATGAATACTAATTTGATATTAATTAATTTAAAATTAATATCGTCCTTGTAAAGTAAGTTGGAATCAAATACTCTATTCTGGATATAAAGGATATACCAAACGTCTCTGGTTTTAACAGGAATAAGCAACCCTGTTTCAAATTACGATAAGTAATTTATAAAGTTGACTGAAGGTCACTTTGAAATGAGTCCAGAAGTAAAGGGTATTTCAGTCTCCAGCTTTCCTGCCTCAACTTATCTAAAATGCATTTGAAAAGTAGTCTCTAGCACTCAGCTTTTTTCACAAAACCGACAAACTACTCTGTTAGGGAAAAAGACACCAAAGAAATAAAAATGGAAATTAGCAGAAACCAGTATTAAGCATATGTCCTTATGAATAAGGCTTAATCACACACTCCATTTTGCAAATACAAAAGGGCCTTTTGAAACGTATTAATTAAAGTTAAGCGCTATGGACAGGCCGCTTTGCGGGCCTGGAGGAATTGGGTTAATCAGGCCGACACCGCAGCGGGGCCGCTGGGCGCAAACGCGGGCTGGGCTCCAGCGCGGACGGCTGGGTCTCGGGGGCAGCCCGGCCCCGCCCGCCCCGGTGGTGGCAGGATTCTTTGCCGCGCCCCAGCATAGAAGAGACAGACCCCCAATCGGCTCGGCTCAGCCCGTAACCCTTCGTAACCCTCGGGGCGGAGGCTCCCGCGTACTCACCCGGAATCCGGCCTCGGAAACCGGCGCGGGTTGGCGGGGAGGGGGCTTTGCTGGCCACCGGGGCCAGATCGGGGGCCCTCCCTGACCCTCCGGGATCAAGGGGGCGCAGGCTGTGAGGACCCTCCTCCGCCAGCCTCTGGGGCAGAGGCGCGGGAAGCGGGCTCCCTGCAACTCCACGCGCCGCGGGCCGTTCCTGGCGGGCGACGGTGGCTGGAATCCGGGGGGTATTTAGGGGTAAACCGCGCAGAGCTCCAGGCAGCTAGTGACGGGTCCACTTCTCGCCCCTCGATCAGGCAAGAAGATAAACAGAACATACTCGAACCTGGAAAAGGCCGAAAAGCTCCTTTCCGGGGCCTTCCTGCGCCCGCGGTCCGCGCCTTTGCAAACGGCGGCTGGGGCGGCTGCGGGGGCGCTGGGGGCTCTGGAGTCTCTGGGCCGACTGAGGCGGGAGGTGCCCGCGACGAGCTCTCGGGAACACGCCAGCCAGAGCGCGGGCCTGCAGCTCGCCAGACGTGGTGACTGGGGCCCGAGGTCGAGCCCCACGTGGGATCAGCACCCAGGCCGAGCCCGGCTCTGCCTCCGCCCTCCGCGCCCGGGCTGGCGGCGGGTGGGCCTGTCTGGGGTCGGAATGCGCCCACACTCACCGGCCCTGGGACCCTGCCACGGTCTTCTTTTCCGGGGTGAGCGGCAGTGCCCGGGGAAACACGGCTGGTCCCTCCAGCCCCTGCCCCTATCCGTGATGACCCCCAGCAACCCCCAGAGGACGTTGGGACAGGGCTCAGAGGGCGCCGCCGGTTCCTGGCGTGGATCCCAGCGTCCCACCCTCCGGCGCAATGCCGATCCGGACGGGCTTTGCGCTTCCCACAGCCCCAAACTGTTCGCTGTTCAGGGGCTGGAAGGGAGGTCGGGCCGCCTCTGCCCCTGGGGCAGGGTCCGTCCGGGTGTCTCTTGTGGGGCCGGGTGACAGTCCTCAGGGAAGCGTAACGAAGGGCGCGTGCGGAAGGGGGCGGGGAGCAGGCACAGTCACGGCTTCTCGTTACAGTGTTTGCAAAGCGCCGATGGCGTTCCGGAGAAGGCTGCGCACTTGTCCGGGCAGGGCCCCAGCGCGGCGCCCGTCGAGAAGGGGCACACGGCGGCCTGGCCGAAGGGCGTCAACGGCGCGGCGGCCACGGGCGCGGCCAGGCCCTGGCCTTGGTTGAGGTAGGCCACCAGGCGCCGCATCTCGTCCAGGGCCTGCGCCTGCATGAGGATGTAGTTCTTGGCGAGCAGCAGCGTGGCGATCTTGGAGAGCTTGCGCACCGACGGGCTGTGCGCGTAGGGGATGACGGCGCGCAGCCCGTCCAGCGCGTCGTTCAGGTCGTGCATGCGCCGCCGCTCGCGCGCGTTGATGCTGAGCCGCAGCGAGCGCTGCTCCCGGGGCCGCCGCCGTCCGTCCGCCGCGCCCCCGGGCCCGCGCCTTCGCCGCCGCTGCTCGAAGGCGTCGTCCTCGTCGCCGCTCTGCTCGCCGCTGCTCTCGGCCGCCGGCGCTGGGGCGCGGGGCGCAGGAGGCGCGGGGAGGTTGCCGCCCGGGCCTGGCGCTCCGTAGCCGCGGGCGGCCTCGGGCCCCCGCGCCGCCCCGTAGGCGAGGCCGGCAGCCGCCGCCGCGTAGCCGTGGCTCAACGCCAGGTACGCGTCCCCCGACAGCGACTCGAGCTCGGCCATGGGGCAGCCGCCTGGGCACGAGGGCTCCCCGAGCGGGCGGGCGCTCATGCGGCAGGACCCGCGCCGCGCCGCCCCGGAGGCCCACCGGAGCCCGCCGCTGCCGCCGTCGCCGCGGTGCTGCTCCCGCCTCTGCACGACCGTCCGGCTGTCTGCGCGTCGCGGAGCCTCGTGCCCGGCCTCCCGGCCCGCCTCCGCCCCGCCTCCGCCCCCTCCTCTCCCTTCTGCCCTCCCTCCTCTCCGTCTTCCTCTTCCCTCCTCCTCTTCCTCCTTCCCCTTCTCTTCCTCCTCCCCCTCTTCCTCCTCCACCCTCTCCCCTCCCCTCCCTCTCCCTTCTCTTCCTTGCGGCCTCAGGCGCGCAGGGCCGGGCCAGGGGCGGCTCTAGCTGCTGCTCGGAGGCGCCCGCTGGGACTGCGCAGCTGTCCAATCAGAGGGGACCTGGTGGCCGCCCCTTCCCCGGCTCCACCTGCGCCGCGCAGACGGCGGGCCGGGGTTGGGGGCAGCGGCCCGGGAGCGCTTTGACGTGCTTCTCAGCGCCCGGCCACCGCTTCCTGCAGCCTGGAGGATGCTGCCACCAAACGCAGGCGTCCCACGTGGCGCCCGCCTCAGTCCGTCCTGTTGTCAGTCCCTGTGGGCAGCAGCCGGGGAGCGCACTGGGCCCCGGGGGTCGGCGCGGTGGTCGGCGCGGAGCGGCGGAGTAGCGTGCGCCAGAGTCTGCAACTCCCGGCCTGGTGCACTGAGCCAGGCTGGACCCTGTCCCAGGTAAGCACGGAGTTCCTACTACCCCGGGAGCACCGGGAGCGGGTAGGGAGGTCGAGGCTTCACCCGGTTCCTGTTGGGGGAGGTGCGAGTGACTGCTGAGCTGGTCAGCTCACCGCTAGCTGACCTGCCTCGTGTGCGGCAACCTGGCGGCTTGGAGCGCTTTTCCCAGAGCCTCCAAAGTTGCAGCCTCCTCCCGAGTCTGGCCACTACTGATGGGAATTCCGCCAGCTTCCCTACCTACCTTTTCAATTCTTCTTCCAACAGGGTGTGAAGGCATGGACCCCAGCTTCTCCCAGCGGGGAGCCTGCCTAGGCCCATGGAGGTGGTGCGGATGGCTGCTCCTGGCGCAGTCGGGAGGTGGGGTCAGCCTGCCTTCCAGCCTGAGGTGGAACAGTTCACCTGCTGTGTGACCTTGGCAGAGTCGCTTAACCTCTCTGTTCTCCAGGTTCCACCAGGAAGAGGCATAACAGGTGATCCATGGGGTTGTCGTTGTCGAGTGTGCCGGGAGGGTAAGTGGGTGCCTGACGCGCATCGGGGAGGGACTGGGTAAGAGCTGTGTGTGCCCTGGAAGTTGTGGAAATGTGGCGATGACTGGGCCACACCGGGGAGTCTGTGCCCAGTGCAGGGAGTCCGTGCCCAGTGCAGGGAGACCGGCAGGAACGCGGATGAGCCATCCTGCGAGCTGCGGGCCTTGCTCTCTGCCTGGCCAGCGGCCCCAAGTCCGCCCTGAGGAGGTGGAGGGCGGGCCGCAGCCACAGGGCAGGACGAGGGTGGCCCCAGGGAAGCTCAGTGCCCGGGAGGCACCCCGGCCGGCCCCTGGGCTGGTGTCAGGCACAGGTGGGGCGTCGGGGAGACCCCGGTGTGGACAGGAGGCCGTGGTGTTGGTGCTTGCTCCCAGAGCTCCGGTGGAGGGGCTGACGGAAGGGGCAGGGCTGGTGGGGGGAGAGTGAGGGCCAGGATGGAGCCAGAGATGGAGGGGGGACTGCCCCGTGGGGCCCCTGGAGCCAGGTGGGGAGCTTGGCCTCTGTGGGAAGAGCCAGCCGCACTCAGGGGAGCGTTTGAAAGGGCCACTCTCTCTGTCCAGACCGGCGGAGCTGGCAGGGCCGTGGAGGAGGGTCCTGCCTGGGGACTCGGGCTGGCAGGGGCACGGGTGCTGGCCAGGACTGAGAGTGTGGACGTCCTGCACGTGAAGGCCCCGGGCGTCCAGCTGGCACGGGTGAGGAACACGCAGGAGCTGACATGGCAGGCGTGGGGGGATGGGCTTCCCAAGCGGGGCCCCTTTGAGGCCGAGACTCCACTGTGGTCCGTGAGGGGGGCTGGGCTTTGGGACCCAAACGCCCCAGCCCAGAGCGAGGGCTTGGGGCCAGTTCCTGTGCCAGGTCGTAAGAACCTACCATGCCACCCGCTGTGGCTGGGGTCGGGTCCCACGGCGCAGCGCGGGTGGGAGGCCACAGGGCGCCGGCTGCAGACGCTGTCGCACCGGCTCGCACCCCGCGGCGCATCCCCACGTTCCACCCGGCGTCTGCGGCCCGATGCTGCCACCTGCTGGCTGCCTGGGAGGTTGCGTGCCCGGCGCTCAGAGGTTCTCAGCGGCCCCACCTGGTCAAAGTGCAGGTGCTCAGGGCCCGCCCCAGTTCTGCTCGAGGGCCAGCTGGGGCTGTTCCACAGGTGCCCGCGTGTGGGGGGCCTGGAGACAACCGCCATCTCATCTCCACCATCGAGTTCACCATCTGAGCTGAGGTTGGGTGCTGTCCCCTTTACACCCGGGGTCGCCGAGGGCCGGCAGGGTCCCAGCCGATGACCGACCCCACCTGCAGCTCTGCACTGGCTACAGGGTTTACCTGGCAGCCGCTCAGCCTTTCCCGCCCGGTGCTGCACCTGCAAAGTCGGGGCTGTCTTCGTAACACATGTGGTCTCATGACAGCCTGAGGGGTGGGTCTGTCAACCTTGGACCTGCTTGTCCCCGGCTGTCCTGAGCTCTGGTTCCCTCCCCCCATACCCCCCCAGGACAGCACAGCGTGACACGGAGAAGCTGCCCCTGGTGCTGGGTTTTGGGTGTCACGTCTGGGGGAAGGGGCAGCCGGCAGGGTGGGCGGGGCTGACGTGGGCGCCGTGGGGGTCAGGGAGCCAGCCTGGGTGGGAGCAGCGGGGGGCTGGGCCCTGCCACGTGGCCTTGGCCACGCCTCGCTCTGTGTGCAGAGTGGAGAGACCCACAGCTGAGAAAGTGCCGCCAGCAACCCAGAGGAACCCCCTGCCCTCCCAGAGACGGCGCCTCCAAATGCCCGGCTCCCGCCGCACGTGGCTCTTCCAGAGAAATACAACAGGGAGGAGGAAAGTCGCCCGGGAGAGGCCACTGCCTCCCCACCCTGGGGGCCACAGTTTGACTTTTCGGGAGGACACCTGGCCTCTGGGGCGGGAAGACCCACCTTTTCACGGGGGAGTGAGACCACACCGCAGGGGGTGTCGTTCCCACGTCATTGGAACGTCCTGACTTTCCTGCCAGACGTCACCGACGAATAGCACAGTTGCACAGTTTACCCGCAGAGCTTCACTGGCCGGTGTGGGGCACGGGAGAGCTGAAACGCAGACTCGGCTAAAAGGTGCCGGAAAACGCTTATTTCCAACCTCCTCTGTTTCGCATTCCTGAACTTGCTTTGGGGCTGTTACTCTTTCCCGTGGAACTTCTAAGCGTGCAAGGTTGGAGAAGGTTGCAAGTTCTTTGCCACGTGGGTGTGGACGGTTCCTCGAGGGCAGAGCCCCGGCCAGCGGGGGCTCGGCTTTGCCGTCCCCTCGGGGCTGAGTCGGACGTGAGATTTCCGTGAGACTCTGCCCCTCCCCTCCCCCGGCGTTTCTGTGGGTGTCGGCGATGGGGGAGTCAGCAGGGACTGAGGCCGAGCCCCTGTGGGCGGCAGATTAGCTGATTTGGGGGAACCCCATGCCTTTCTCCTTGGCCCTTCCGCCAAGTGCCTCTGGGTGGCGCTACCTAGATCCCCTCAAAGCCCTCCTCTGGGCGGGACTCCGGCTCACACATCTGCACCGCTCGCAAGTCCCCGTCCCTTGGGGAAGGGGAAGAAGCCACAGCCCCACGCTTTGCTGTTGCTCGAGTTGGTGGGGGAAGCTCACGGACCTCCAGCCTCTCCCGTCCGTGCAGCCGACAGACCACACGCGGCTCTGCTCCCCACCAGCCGGTGCCACGCCGGGCTCTTCCAGGGTGAAAGAGGAAGACGCGTTGTTTTTTCAATTATTTTTAGAACGGCTTTATTTCGACATAATTCACATGCTGCACAATCCACCCATTTGCAGCAAACAGTTCCAAGATCTTTATTAATAGTCACAGAGTTATGCAACCATCGCCACGATCAATTCTAGGACATTCTCATCACCCCGAAAAGACAACTTGCACCCCTTCAGTGTCATTCCCACCTTCCACCCCCACAACCCTGGCGACCACTCATCTTCGTTCTGTCTCTGCGGCTCTCGTGTTCTGGGCGTTTCCTACAGACGGAATCATACGATGCAGGGTTTTGTGACCGGCTTCTTGGGCTCAGCGTACGGCTTTAGGCATGTCCGTTTTACACCGCGTGAGCCACCGGTTTGCAGCCTGCTGGGGCGCACGAGGCCGCCTCCTGGTACCGGCCGCCTCTCAGATCCTGTCCCACCAACTGGGCTTCGGAGTCCCCGGGAGATACTGCCGGTGCATATTCAGGGGGACATCCCGGGGAGACACACCTGCGGCACATGGACTGGTTCATCTGCCCCACGCCGTCTCCGTGGTCGGTGGCACCTCTCGTAACAGCTGCCCAGGGCAGAGACTCCAGGGAGCAGCCTGGCCCCGGGCACCGGGCGGCTTCGGCCCCAAAGGTGGGAGTGCGTCCACTGTGCCTCACCTGCCGAGCGCGGCAGCTTCAGGCATGCTCGGTGCAGTTGCACTAGCCGAGGGACCCTGCTGGGCACCTTGGAGGGATGGGGGGTCCACCTGGGTGACAGGGTGGGCTCCCCAGGGAGCAGTCATGGGCAGCTCCACCCCGGCCCTCAGTGCTGTCTGGGGACGTCCTGGTGTCCAGGGCCCTCCTGGTCTGTCCATCCGGCTCCCCCCAGCGCACCCTGCAGGTTGGGGAGCGGTCAGCGTGGGCAGTTCTCCCCCTGGCCACCAGGCGGCAGCAAGTCCCCGGGTTTGCGCCAACAGTGGTTGGTCCCAGGCAGGGCTTGGGGGGCGCGGTGGCTGAGCATGTGTTGGCCACTGTGGGGCCAGATCGAGGCTACAGGCCCTCTGGAGCTGCTGGGACACA